GTTGATTTCTTAGTTATAAAGGCTACACTGAAAATTTAATGACTCTGTCTTGCTAGCTGGTTATAGCTGGCTCTTTCACACTCCTGGATCTTGTCTCTTTTTTTTTTTTTTTAATTTCTTTTGAGTATAGACCTAGTGGTCTATTCTATGGTCAAATGGCATTTACTGTTTAGTATCTTTTTGTGTATAATTACAAACTGCTTTCCAGAATGGTTGTACCTATTCAGAGGTCCATAAGCAGTCCATCAATGTGCTTGTCTTCCCACAGCCCCTCTAACTTGTACCAATTTCCTTTTTTTCCCCTCTTTCCTTTAACTAATATTCCCACTCTGATGGGTATGAAGTGGAATCTCAGAATTGCTTACATTTTCATTTTTCTAATTAGTACTGAGGCAGCTAGATGGCTCAGTGGACTCAGGAAGACTTGGGTTCACATCCAATCTCAGACACTTACTAGCTGTGTGACCCGAGGCAAGTCACTTAACCTAACAATGCTCCCCCTGGGCTCAAGGATGAGGCTGCTCCATTCACACCCCAAACAGCATGCAGGTATGACTAAAACTGGGGCAGCTAAGTGGCACAGTGGATAGACTGCTAGATCTGGAGTCAGAAAGACCTGAGTTCAAATGTGGCCTCAGACACTTACTAGCTGTGTGACCCTGGGCGAGTCACTTAACCCTGTTTGCCTCAGTTTTCTCATCTGTAAAATAAAGTGGAGAATAAACTGAAGAACAAAGTAGTGGAGCATTTTTTCATGCGCCTAGAGATAGCCTGGGTTTTTCTCTTGAGGACTATCTTTCATATCGTTAGACGATTTATCAATTGAAGAATGACTCTTTTTTTCTTATAAATTTGAATCAGTTCCTTATATATCTTGGATATGAAACCTTTGCTCTCAATTTTATCAATGGAGTTAGGGGGCTTGGTTGATCAGGGATCCTCTACTCCCCTCCCGCACTAGTGGTTTATACCTTAAATATATTAATTTTATATATATTGTATCTGTATAATATATTGTATGTAAATGATAATATATTGATATACCTTAAATATATTAATTCATTTGATCCTAATAACAGTCCTGTTGGACAAAGCAGGTAATATTATCTCAGTTTTTCTGATAAGGAAACAGGTTTAGAGAAGTTAGGTGATTTGTCCGCTCACATAGCTAGTAGCCGAGTTGTGACTTGAAACCAGATATCTGGATTTAAAGCCCAGGTTTTATTTTTTTTTTCTTCTATTACTGTGCTATGGTCCTTCTGTTATCTGTGATAAGTGACGAAGATGCAATAGCATAAACAAGTTTATTCACTGATGAACTATTTCATGTGTGCTCACTATGTTCCAGGTTCCATGCTAAGGGCTGTGTCTGATAAAAGGTGAATATTATTATATGTCAGGTCTTTCGAGTGCATTGTCATTTTGTTGTAACGAATTTCCAATATATCTGCTACATTCATTTAGAAATGCTAAGTACAAAAATTATTATATATCATACAAAAATTATACATTACTTAACAGGGATTTATTTAGGGCTGACTGTGCCAGGCATAACTATGCTAAGTGCTGAGGATATAAAGAAAAGTGAAAACATGGTCCTGGTCCTCAAATAGCTCACATTCTAATGGGGCAGATTAAAAATTGTAAATAAAATATATGTACTGTGTAAATGGAAAGAAATCAAAGATGGCAGATGATTTTTGGACTGTCCGTGCTTCTCCTTAATTCCACTAGTGTAGACAATTGAGTATTAACTACATAGGATATATGGTGGGGGGGAAGTGGGGAGGGAGATTTTTGGTTTTGTTTCCAGGTATGAGTCCTAAACCATCTTCCAAATCAATCAATTTATTAAGCATATCACAACCATTTATTAAGCCACTACTATGTGCCAGGCAGTGTAACATTGCTGGGTATACAAAAACAAAAATGAAATAGCCCTGCTTTCATCTATGGAAACAACATGCAGGCATACACACCCACACCCACACACATAACACACACACACACACACACACACACACACACACACACACAAAATAATACAAGGTAATTTTGGGTAGATACTCGCATTTAGGAAATGAGGGATTCTAAGAGGTAGAAGAGGTAGAAGGTGAGGAGAGAGTATATTACAGATGTACAAACTTGAACACAGGATGAGAATAATGTACAATAAGCCTGTTATGGGGTTTTAAAGGCTGATATTTCATCCCTGAGGATTCACTGTAGTTTATTGGGTTGGAGAGAGAGATGGCCAGACCTGTGCATTTAGAATAATACTGAATGCCTTTGTCTGTATAATAGACTTTTAATAATTTTATCTTTTTCATACTCTAGTTTAAACAATAACTATAATGCTATCCTAGCTATAAACTAGAGATCAACTTTATTTTTGCAATGCCATTCTTAAGTTTCATTGAAGAAAATGTTCGTTTTTGGATTGAGAAATGTCAGCACCTTCCTTGGAGGAAAAAAATGCATTCTTTTTGTTGAAGCAGTTTTACTGTAGGAAAAAAGGTTTTTTTTAAAAAAAATTCCCTTTCCTCTCCTCCCTCTCATCCCCCCCACACCCTGTTTTAATTTATAATTTTAAAAGGCTTGGGTACTTTGAAATGAAACCACAGTATTCCTAAGAGCTGTTTGGTGGAATGTTGTGATTTCCCCCTAGAGGAGAGGACAAAAATGCCTCTAAACTTAGCATATACTAAAGTTTTCAATGTTGCTTTAGCATTTTGACAGAAATTTAACATGTCATTTAAAATCTCAGTCATTGAGTATTCAGCTATAGCAATCAGAGTAGATTTTTCCCTTTTATTCAGTTAAAATCATTATTGTGATCCCCAGCTAGTCTTATTAATGTCACCCATATCTCATTGGGAAATACCACTTTGTTAGAGGATTCTCTCTAATTCTGTACAGGTTCTGGTTTTTGTTAAAGCCTGTTGCTGTAGGAGGCCATACATATCAGATTACACTTTCGACTTCATCGGCCCTCATTCTTCCAGACTTTTGAGGAAACCCAAAGGAAATCATCTTACAGAAGTTTAAGTTTTAAGTGCATTCAGTTGCAAAACACTACTTAGCTTCTTCTATGCCCACCCTCCAGTAGAGGCTCCTAATACTAAAATGCCCTGGTTAAGTTACCAGACAAACCTATTTTCTGATTTGTATTCATTTCTCTGTAAAAGGAAGGGGTTGAACTACTAAGGATCTCCGAGGCCCCTTCCAGTTCTGACATTTCATGATTTGGGTTAATCATTCATGAAGCACACGGGCGCTAATACAGTAAAAGATAACATTGCACTTCAGTCCCAACATGCATAATGCATTCTGTTAATTATTTTTTAAGCCATCATATCCAGTGATGGTGGTGGGGGTGGCTACGGGAAAGTGTGTGTGTGTGTGTGTGTGTGTGTGTGTGTGTGTACCTCGGTGCAGTCCTTTGCATTGACACCTCCTAACTGTGGTCTGGGACAATTCATCTAACTACTGCCTGCCTTAGTTTTCTCATTTGAAAATTGGTGTAAGGGTCAAATGAGATAATTGTAAAGAGCTTATGGAACTATATGTGTTAACAATTATTATAATATATGTTATGTCATTTGATCCCCGAGGACAACCCTGAGATGTAGGGCACTGGACCTGGAGTCAGGGAAGACCTGAATGCAGCCATAACCTCAGACCCTTACTAGGCAAGTGGGCAGCTTAATTTCTGTTTGCCTCAGTTTCCAGTAAAATGAGGATAATAATAGCACCTGCCTGTCAGGGTTGTTGTGAGGATAAAATGAAAGAAAAGTCGTAATATGCTTTGCAAACCTTAAGGCGCTATATAAATATTATCACTGTCGTTATCATTACTAATTAACTCTTATCTGGCTAGGGAGTTTCTTGTGGTTTATGGTGCCCCAGTTGGGTTTTCCTGCCCTTCTGCCCCCATCATTAGCTTAGAAGGTAAGCTTCTTGAGAATAGGAATTATTTCATTCCTTTTATTTGTTTCCTCAATGCCTTGGTGTAATACGTGCTTAACAAATGTTTGTTGCAGCGTGGTTCTAAAGAAGAGATATGAAAAGTCGCCCCCACCCCACTCGCTTTAGGGGTGGGAGGGCCACCGTTGTGGCACATTGAACAAGTTTTCAGACCTTTTCGATAAACAAGGTGTCCTAGTGTCTTTGTGCAGTTTTAAGCTATTGAAGCTTATCATTATAGTTTAGAACTGCACTAAGACTTTTGGGACACCCTGTATTGATGTGTTTTGATTTTTCCTCCCCCCCTCTTTTCCTTAAAAAAAAAAAAAGATTTGTTAAAAGGGATGGTTCCTGGGGTCTGGGGAGGGATGCTAGTATAAATTTTGATAATGTAAAAAATAATTGGTCATTGAAAATTAAATTATAAATTATAACATATAACTCATTCTATACTTTATAATAAAACATGAAAGCTATCAATTTAAAAAAAGTTGGCCGCTATAGTGATTGACAGCTTTCCTCCCCCTCTTCTCCCCGCCAACAGCAGGGGGCCGGAGGCAGCTTCCCAGGGCCCCCTGGCAGGCGGCGCTGGGGTCTGCGCCCAGGCCCGGCTCGCGCCAGCTGCCAGCCAGAGGTGCGGGGAGACTGGGGACGAGGGGGGGGCTCGTGGGATCTCCTCTGTCCTCTCCTCGCCCTCATACGTCACTTCCGGCAGCCCGGTCTACTTCCTGGTGAAGGGAAAAGGGGAGGAAAGAAAAAAAAAAAAGGGAGAGAGGAGAGATTGGTGCTGCCGGAGAGGGAGGAAGAGGGGTGAGAAGAGCCGAGGCGCCCCTGCCCCGCGGCGCGTGCCCTCGGGAGGGCGGGGGGGGCCAGGGGGGAAGGGAGGGGGCGGCCCCGCCCGGGGGCGCACGCGCCCCGGCCCTCGCGGTCCCCGGCCCTGCCCCCTCCCTGCAGCGCTGTCGCCCGGGCTCGGGCTGCGGAGGAGCTGGGCTGCTGTTCGCTTCTCAGCGGCCGCTTGCTCTGTGTCGTTGCAGGTTTACCCGGAGCCCCGGAGCGAGAGCGAGTGTCTGAGCAACATCCGCGAGTTCCTGAGAGGCTGCGGGTCTTCCCTCCGCCTGGAAGTGAGTCATGGGGTCCGGGGGCCGGGGTAGGGCCTCGCTGAGCAGGGCAGCCTCGGGATTGTGGGGCGCCGGGGCGGGGGCGCCCCCGATGCTGCTGCTGCGCCCCAAGTTTGCAGCTGCAGGGGAGCGGCTTCTCCTGCCCGGGGGTGGGGCGGGGAGAGGATGCCCGCGGAGCCGGCGGCCGGCAGATGCTCGGGGGGCAGGGGCGCCCCAGATGTGCTCCTCTCCATCCTTTGCCTAGTCCCTCCTTCCGCTGCTGTCCTCGGGAGGTTCCCCGGCGGTGGTGGGGGAGGGGGGAGGAGGGGCAGAGTATGTTCGTGTGTGTGTGTGTGTGTGTGTGTGTGTGTGTGTGTGTGTATATGTGTGTATACACCTTCTGATGGTGGGCAGGTACTGAGAGATATCTAGAATGAATGGCGGCCAGGGATAGAGAGACATGGATCTGTATGCCTCTTGGGGTGTGGGTGGGGGTGTGTGTGTGTGTGTGTGTGTGTGTGTGTGTGTGTGTGTGTGATGGTCGGCAGGTTTGGAAGGGAGATCTAGAATGAAGGCTAGGGTGTAGGGAGACCTATCTGTATGTCTGTATGTCTCTTGCATGCTGTGTGTGTGTGTGTGTGTGTGTGTGTGTGTGTGTGTGTACACATGTATACCTTCTGATGGTGAGCAGGTTTTGGGAGGTATCTCTACCTTTTCTGGAAGGAGAATGACTGGAGGCTAGGGGGTGGGGTGACCTATCAGTGTGCCTCTTGCGTTGTGACTGTGTGTTTGTGTTAGAGGGGAGGCAGGTATAGGGTACCCTTTTGGTGTGGACACTATTTCTTTTGGAGGGGAAAAGAAGTTTTGCAGTTGAATTCCATACTTGGACAATGCTTATTTCTGGAAAAAATAGTTTGTGGCCTTGCTGTCATGCATTTGTAAATACTAAAGTTAGTCTTGGTAAGAGCATGCACAGTTTCTTGGTGTCTAGTTAAACCATGGCATTTTATTATTGTATTTAATTTATTTTTAAAAATAGAACCCATACCTTGGGTTAGATTGAACTCCTAGCAGGTGAATTCTTGAAATGGGGTTAAAATGGAAAGAACTCCCCTTCCCCCATTGCAACAACAGAAACACTGTTTCCCTATATAGGCTACCCCACCCCCATGTCAGTGATTCATTATTCTTAAGCCTGTCCTTTGAAACAGTTAGCTTCCCTAGAACTTCATGTTGAGATTCTACAAATAGCCCTAACTTTGTTGAATAGAGAAATACTTTGTGGCATGCTTTTGGGGTTCCTTTTTCCATAGTGCCTTATGTTGACCTTAGCCAATAATAGTGACTTTAAACTCTTAGAGTCAGACTTAGAAGAATTGGAATTTCTGGGCAGAAATCTTTCTCTTTCTCCTTTCTCTCCACTGCTTAGCATCTTACTAGGCCATTGATCAGGAGCTATGTTTTTTTTTCCTTTTTTCATGAGCAGATACTGTCAGCGACATTCCTGTTGACATAGATCCTTGTTCTAGGTTTTTTGAAAAATAACAGCAAAACAACAAAGATTCATTATATGTAGTCTGTGGAACATTTATGTGGACAGCTTATCTGTTGATTGTGAAAATACATAGAAACTAAGGGATTGGTAGAAGTTAGAATGCTTGTTACTTGTTAAAGTACTATAATTTATGTTAATATTTTCGTGTCTATTAAGAATTTTCACAGATGGGTAGGTAAAAGTTGGTGAATAAACCAGAATACAACCGGGAAATGAAAATGATTGTTATAAACATTTTTCCTTCACGGTATTAAATTTGTCAACCTCCTAAATTATGATATTCAATTCTTTGGGTTCATAGGCTCGTACATTCAGAGCTGGAAAGGTGAATAGTCTAAACCCCTTTGTTTTACAGATAAGAAAAACTGAGACCTAAAGAGTTTGAATGTCTTACCACAGGTAACACTGTAAATGGCAAAGCCAGGTATCATGATTTCACATCTAGCACTGTTCTCATTGAACTGACTTTTTCCCCCTGAACAGTGAGGCTTTTGTCTTGGACCTTTGTGGTAGCAGTAACAATTTTTTTTTTATTATATACATTAAACCATTGAAGTTATACTTAGTAATTGCTACTATAATTTTGAAATTCAGTTGATCTGACAAGAACTTTATATATTAAAATGATTGTAGAACATCAGTAATGTAAGAGTGTTAATAGTGTACTGTATGTGGATTTTAAAGAGAATATCATTGGATACTGAGAGGCCGAATTTCAGTGTATAGAGACCCAGCCTTGGCAATAGGAAGACCTGAATTCAAGTTCTGGTTTTGATGCATAGTGACCTTGTGACTCTTGGCAAATCACCTAACTTCTGAGTACCTAAAACAACTCTCTAAAATTAAATTACAGAGCAGTTACTCATCTGCATTGATAGAGGGGGTTTCCTAACATCAATGTAATGACAGGTTTGGACTATTTTTTTTTGCCCAGAAATCTTTGATAAAATATTTCATCCTTTTTAGAGGTAAATTATGAAAGTTCATATGAAATTTTGTATACTGTATTACAAAGACATGTTTTAGAGCAGCATTTAGAATTGTACTGGTAAAATGTAGCTGTTTCTTGATTAGAAATTCAATTCTAATTTAGTGTATAGAGTTTCCTTAAAAGTACACAGTAGGTCAGGTTGCTAGTCATATTTAAAATACAGGTATCCATATTAGAATAGTACTTTCAAAATTAAATTTAAGTTAAACAGAAAGTAACTTGATCACATAGATCCCCTACGTCATAATTAAAACAATACTTAAGAGTTTAAAAATTTGTCATAGAGTTGAGGAAAATGCTCTGGTATTTAACTTGATACTGACTTGATAGATTCATATTTGACTTCTGCCTTTCATTTAGATTTGTCCTTTCAGAATGATTCTCACTGTCAACCAAAACAGTTTCATGATGATTGTTGTGATTTTCAAGGATATTTTGAAAGAAATAATTCCTTACGTTATTGTTAGATGTTTGCGTTTTCCAGATTCTGGAATGCATGTGTAAGCAAACATCTTCAAACTGTAGATACTAGGAACTTAATACTGAATGGGGTTGCTTTAGTTGTTCTTTAACTTTTTTTTTTTTTGAGTTGAAAAGTAACAAATCTTTGTGGTGACTAATAGTTTAGATTGTGTTCTGTTGGTGATAAACTGTTGAATGTGAAGTCTCCATTTTGTCTTCTGATCAATTAAACATCTTTTAAGATCTCTTGAAGAAAAAGGATAAGTTGAATATTTTGATTGGGAAAGGTTACCTAATCAGTTTGGGATCTGATAGAAATTAAGTTTGCCACAAACAGTAGAGATTGAACTTGTGCTATGCACAGTTTATGGAGCACCTTCGAGAGATCACAAAAGCTTGCTCATACATGTTTTAGTGACTGACAGCCTTGGTACCGGTTTATTCATAATCTCTATTGACTTTCTTTTAAAACATTACTGATAATCTTTTGTTTTTACATCACCTTCATTTCCCAATATATCTGCCGTCCTTCCTCCATCCAGAGGAATGTAAAAGAGAGGAAAAAAAGTAGCCGCACAAAACTAATCAACACATCAACTGAGCCTGACATGTTCCACATCCATAGCCCCCAACATTTGCAAAGAAGGGAGGGAAGTGAATTCTCATAATTCTTCTTTGGTTCCATGCTTGGTCATTATAAGTACAAAGCATTTGGTTTTGATTTCCTTTTTTTTTAAAAAATATACTTTCTACTTAAGCAGTAGTTATTGTGTATCTTTTCCTGGTTCTGCTTACTTCACTGTATATCATTTTATCTAAGCCTTTCCATGTTTCTCCGAATTCTTCATATTCATTGTTTCTTAAGGCATAGTGATATTTCCTCACATTTGTGTGTCACATTTGGCTTAGACTTTCCTCAGTTGATGGACATTTGTTTGGTTACCAACTCTTAGCTACTACAAAAAGTGCTGCTATAAATATTTGTCTATATTAGACCTTTTCTCTCTCTCTTTGACTTTAGCTGTACTTTAGGTATATTTCTTTGACTTTAGCTATACTTTAGGTATATTTCTGTATCAAATAATACATTAGGCATTTTCTTAGTATGTATCATCCACCTAGGGCACCTAGGTTGCTCAGCAGATGCCAGGCCTGGAATCAAGAATACTTTAGTTCAGATCTGGCCTCAGACACTACTATCTGTGTGACCTTGGGCAAATTACTTAACCACTGTTTGCCTCAGTTTCCCCATCTGTAAAATGGGGATAATAATAATGGCACCTAACCCCCAGGGTTGAGACTCTGATGAGATAATATTTGTAAAGCACTTAGCAACATGCCTGGCACATAATAAAGCTATATAAATATTAGCTATTATAATTATTACTATTTCCAGATTTTCAGAATGGTTGGGCTCGCTCATAATTTCACTAACTCTGTAATAGTGTGCCTGTCTTTCACAGTTCCTTCAACATTAACTATTATCGTCTTTTGTCATCCTTGCCAGTTTGCTGGGTGTGAGGTAAAATCTAATAGTTGTTTTATTTGTATTTCTTGTAATAGTAATTTGGAATAATCTTTCATAGAGTTGTTAATTGTTTGCAAGTTTTCTTTTGCTTCTTTTGGCTTTTATTTGGGTGTCTCAGCATTCCAACAGGCTTTTTCATTGAAAGGCAAGTGACTTAAGATAGGATATTAATCTTTTTTGGAAATGAGTCTGAATACTTTAGAACTGTAAATTTTGTGATATCTTTGTAGGGTGGTGAAGTTTTGACAATTTTTGAGCACATTTCACAAATTCATATATATGTATGTATACATATATACACACATAATCACAGCTGATAATATATATACATATGTATATAGCATTTTAAGATTTATATTTTACATGCATTATCTCATTTGATCCTCACAACAGTTGTGTGAAGTATGTGCTTTTATTATCTCCATTTTATAGATGAGGAAAATAAGCCTGAGAGATAATAAATTCCTACCTTAGGGCCACACAGCTAG